CCGCCCGGCCCTACGCGGCCGCAGCCAAGTGAGTGCGGCTCCGGCGTCCCGGGAGGCTGCCTTGGCCGTGTGGGTGGTGTTTGGGGGCTGTGGGGCGGGTTTGGTGTCCGCAGTGCCGCTCCAGCAGCCGCCTGACCCTGCGGGCATCCCGCGGGCTCCGCTTGGCGCTGTTGGTTTTGCGGGGTCACAGGTCGGCGTGAAAGCTGGTGAGCGCCTGGAATGGGTTTCAGACCCTTCAGCTGGCTTTTTACTGTTTAGTTTGCCATCTCTGTAATAACTCGGCACGGCTGGGAGAAGCAGAATTGACCTCCGGGTACAGCGTCGCCAAGTGCTGCAGGCCCCTTTTGCCCTGCTTATAGAGGAATGGAGCACCCAGCTATCATTTTAATGTTCTTTTCCTCGCCCAGAGACCCTCTGAAAACAGGGAGGAGAACGAGACAAGGGCGTTTAGCTGAACGCCAGCTGGAAGGGGAGGAGAAAACCTGTTCTGCCTGGGGTCGGGCTGCCGAGAGAATTAGCCAAACTCTCCAGCTAGCCACTTAACAACGAGTTTGGGTGGGGTTTGTTTGGCTTTTCTTGTTCTTAGAACTGCCAAAAAAGATGCCAGGAGGCCCAGGCAGGAGAAGGTGAAGGAGAAAGCCCCGCCTCGGAGGCGGCCGCTGATGACCATGCCCGTGGACGATGTGTACCTGACGTGGCTCTACAAGAGACCCTCCTACGAGCTGGAGCAGGCCGTGGGCATGCTGAAAAGATTCCAGGAGCTGGATTTCACCCACCCCAAGCAGTTTGTGTACATCAATGTGTTCCTGGATATGGCTCTGCAGAAGAAGGTGGGCTGGGAGAGGGGCCTGGGAATTCAGGCGCTTCCGGAGGCGTTGGGTCCATTCAGACTTGGGGATTGTCACAGGGGGGAATTGCAAAGACAGGCTGCAGCCCCTCACCTCGTTGGCATTTTTTTTTTATTTGGTCACATTTAGGGGACCAACTCCCTGTGGTTGTGTAATTTACCCTCAGGTCATAATTTCTTACTCTTTGTTTTAATTTATTTTTTTTAATGATATTTTTTTTATTTGCTCGCCAGAAAAAAGTGGATCCATTTTCCAGCAGTGTCACTCTTCCCCATCGCTTTACAGATGAGGTGAACAAGGTTTTGGTGTTCACAGAGGTGGGTGAGCCAGGATTCCTTTATATTCTTTATAAATTCCTTTATTTATGAAAGGATTCCTTTATTTCTTGCTTCTTTCCCTAAATACCAACCAATGTCAAGCTACCACTTTATTTTATTTTCATTTTTTTTTCCTCTCAACAGAATCAGCAAGAAGCTGAAATAGCTCGAGAGCACGGAGCTGCCATCGTGGGAGGACTGGAATTAATCAAATGGGTACCTATTTTCCTTAAAGAATTCCATAAATATCCTAATTAAAGCAGGATGGGGGCCTGGGGAGGGGGAGAAGCCTGATACTCAGTGAGTATCAGCCAGGGTGAAGAGTGCCAGGTGGGTTTCTGTGCCTGGACACTTTTATAGATATGAATGAAATGTGTTGAACTGTGCTTGTTGCAGATCTTGGAGGATGAAATCCAAGCTGATTTCTACGTGGCCGTCCCTGCCATAATACCCAAGTTAATACCCCTGAGGAACAAACTGAAAAGGAAGTACCCCAGCAGCAAGAGGAGTAAGAAGCAGTTCTTTGTTGCAACTGTTACAAATTGCTGGCGGAGATGGAGCCCCAGGGGTGCCACTGAAATGGTTTTTTTGGGGAGGATGTGTAGTTCCATTCGGTATTAGGCTGCAGGCGACCCCACTGCTTGTTTTAGGTCAAGGTAACTCGAGGAATCTGTGTTTTCCTACAGCAGGCAAATCTGGGATTAGAGCCCAGATGAATTTACCTGCTTATTGATCCTGATGAATGGGGAAGGAGGGAACAGGGAGAGCTGTTTTTCTCATCTCAGTGAGGCCACCATTGTCTTCTCTGTGAAACTGTGTTTTGGAGTGGCCTTTGCTTGCCTTAATTAACAGATTGAATTATCTCTTTCCTGATTCCACACCTATCTGTGCTAATGGGCATTACTCACACAACTTCTTGCCTTGTTTTGGGTTTGTTTTTTTTTCCAATAGATTCCCTGGGCAGTGACATTCCCAAAATGCTGCAGTTCTTCAGAGAATGTCACGAGTACACGGTAGAGGACGAGGATATAATCAAGACAAGAATAGCCAGGGTAAGTTTTGTAGAGAGCTCTTAAATTTTTCTCTCCTGAGCGGAGCTGTAGTATTCAAAGAGGGGAAAAAACCCCATGTTTTCAGTCTCTTTCTGAAAATTGACCATTTTAAATAACCTTAAGAAAGAAGGAAATAGAGCTCCTTGTTGTGTGGCATCTTCAGCTGGTTGTAAACTTTTTCCTTTTTTTTTTTTTGGTAAGTAGATAAACTGTGAGCTTTTAAGTCTGTGTTCAGTATGCACAGGAAAGTCCAAAAGTCTTTGCTTTAACCAAATAATTAAAGACTTGTAATTTTGGTAACTATAGTTGTGAACTGGAGTAGAAAGCAAGAACTGTTTGTGTTACACCTGAAACAGAACATTCATTTTGACTTTTTTTATTTATTATCTCTGCCCTAAGCTGTGGGGTTTTTTTGCTTTCCTTCTGGTTTGTGTCTTTGTAATCCTGCCTGATATTTAGTTTGAGTGTGGCCATGGAAGGAGGGGTGGGAAAGACCTGAAGCTTTGCCTGGCAGTGTTGGAGATCAATGAGTTTATGAATTCTGATTGGCTGCTCTGAGCTGTGCACGGGCATCCCAAGGGCTTCCTTGTCTGCATTTTTGCGTCTAGTTGGAATTCTGGATCTTGCTGTTGAAGGAGTCAAACTTATTTTAAGAAATAAAAAGGGAACAAACAGCTTAGCTGAACCTTTTTGCAGCACCTTGTGCTGCTCTGGAGAGCAGTGTTCAAAACTTCAAACATCAGGATCAGTGTGCATCCACAAGGATTCCGTGTGGAAAGCTAGCTTGGAAGATGGGATGTTTATTTGGGTGTAGGAACTATTTTGAAGTGTTTGGAACCCTCTGAGCATTACCTGTCTTCATTATGGTGCTGCTGAGTTGATTCTTTTGATTGGTTGCCTTCTGTTCAAGCTCTTAATGCCTTCAGTTTTAGGTGTGTTGATGTTTTTGGAGTGGATCCATTTCATGCTCTTTGACAGCTGCTTCTTGAAGCTTCTTTCCCCAAATCCTTTGTTTTAATGAGGTTTTTGCAAAACCTCTTGTGCATGAATCAATTTTTTTTTTTTAAAGCCTTCTCACCCCCCACCTTAAGGCTACATGTTGTTACAGAGCCCTGGGAATTTGTTGTCCTGAGTAGAAATCTGGAGACCATATCAGCATGTATGAAATAATTCTTTTCCCTGAGTCACTTGGATAATGGCATTTGTCCCTCCTCCACAGGGAACACGGACAAAGGAAACCTATCCCAATGCTGAATAAACTTTCAGATGTATTCAGTGTATTCATCTGGGCTCCAAGCATCACCATAACTAACTTGGCATTATCCTTTTGCAGCTGGATATGCCTGCTGAGCACATCATTGCCAATCTGAAAACAGTTATCCACGACATCTGCACCTTCAAGCCATCAAATTTCGGTAAGTAACGTGCTTGTCCAGGTTGCAGCCAACAAAAGTGGGAAATGGGTGTTCCTTGCTGGATTGTCATTAAATTACCTTTCTGTTCTCAAAGTGAATCTCTGAAATTCCTGCTCTTCCAAGGGAAAAGCTCTCTCTCTGGTTTTCTCTGTTTTTTCTGTGTTTTTTCCTGTTTTTTTTTTTCTGTATTTTTTGCTTTGTTTTTTTTTTCTTCTTTTTTTTTTCTGTTATTTTTTTTTTCTGGGTGTTTTTTCTCCAATTTTTCTCCAATTTTTCTCCAATTTTTCTCCAATTTTTCTCCAATTTTTCTCCAATTTTTCTCCAATTTTTCTCCAATTTTTCTCCAATTTTTCTCCCTCTCTCCCAAACTCCCAAACTCCTTAGCAGAAGGAGCTACAAAGGACTAATCAAGCCAGCTTTAAGCAAAGGGCATCTGCTTAATAGGTAGAGGAAGTGGTGATTCATGAAATCATTTTAGGCAAGGAGCTTTGTGTGAGCTAAAAACCCGGTTTTTTTATGTTACTGCTTGCTTAATGTCTGCCAGAAGAATGATCTTGCCTCTCTCCCAGTGATGCTGTTTATAGTAGCTGCAGAGACCAGACCATAAAAAGCCAACTACACATGCCTTGAGAAACCCAATTAAAAACTGAGGGGTTGCCTGAATTGAAATACAATAAGTAGATGGCAGGAGGGGTGTTTTGGATTGTTAGTTTCTTTTTTTTTTAAAATCAATTTAAATCAGTTTACATCAGAACTAAGGATTAGCTTTTCCGGTCTGAGTAGCTTTTCTACTGATTTGGAGAGTCTAGCTTGATCCTTCTGGTGTTCTTTTACTTGATTGAAAACATTTTCTGAGAGCAGTCAGCCTGGAGACATGGAGAGGGGTGGAGTGACCAGCTTGGTGGTGGACTTTTGTTTCCTAGATCCCATTGTGCGGAGGTTGGTTATCAGATCTTCCACCAGTGAAGGTTTGCTGCTGAACCTCGATGGAATCCTGCCTCAGGTGGAGAAAGTAGAAGAAAAAGAAGAAGAGAATGCAGTGGGTGAAGATGAACAAAAGCCAGCTAACCAAGAATCTGTTAGTACCTGATGTCTTCTCCTTGTAGAGCTGATGCTCGAGCAGGGGGAGCAGATGGTGTCATTCAAATCATGCTCTGTGAGAACAAAAAATAAATGGGACTTGTGGATTTCAGGTGTAAATTCGGTGTAACCTTGTCACAAACAGAAGCCTGCTGCCAGAACCATACCGACCTTTTCTCTAAGGAAGAATTGGATGTGTTTTGGGGGGGGTGGCAGTGAACGTGCACCTTGCTCTGATGTCTTTTCCCCGCCTGCTTTGCTGGAATGTGAACTGGAGATCCGGCTCTCTTTCCCGGTGCTTTCTGCATTATTTCCAGGAGGTGGCGCTCCCGCCCTTTCCCTCCTGGATAGGCGTTGGAATTTCTCCTCGGGTGGTTTTTTTGGGGGGCTCTGTTACTGAACACGTATTTGTAAAGCTGCACCCCGAAATGTAAGACAGTCCCAGAAAGGATTGGCTATTTACAACAGGGATGAGCTGGTGCAAATTTGGGCAGGTTTGTGGCTTTCAATCATTCCTACTATTCTTTCAGCTCCCATCTGAAGAGTTTGGCTGCTGTCAGTCAGGGTCACCAATGCCTGTCAGGCCACGCTGATTATTTTTGGTTGTGTGGGATGCTTTGCTCAAGAGTTGGAGCAAAAAATTCCCTTTAGGTTTGTATAGGAAGCTTTCACACAATAGACTTTCTGTGTTTTAAGTGGGAAAATGAATGCCAGTGCACTTGAATATCTTTATTGCTCAGGCATTAGACATGTAAGGAATATTATGAGGCATTCCAGTGGCTGTGTGTTGTGACACAAAAGGAACCATTGGCAGGTGAGTTTCCTGTTGGTGTAGAAAAGCAAAGCTTGTGGTATCACCTGCATAGAATTCCTTGCCTTTTCTCTGTTCACTTGGCCTGTTTCCAAGACTTCACTATCCATTTTGGAAAAAGATAGGCCTGCCCTCTTGGATAGGTGGATTTAAAAAAGAAAAAGTGATGTTTAAGCATAAATGTAGAGGTGAGCTTAAATCAGAAGCTCTCAGACTGCTGAGTGCGCTCTCGGAGAATAAAAGCGCGGAATAACCAACTTTTCTGCAGGAATCTGTGCTTGGAAAATCCCAGCACTGTGGGGACAGAGTAAATCTGGACCTCTGGAGGTCAGGTGGGAAAGAGAAGTAGCTCAGCAAGTTTTGAGGTGCAGTTCTGGACCGGTGTCACTGCGCCACTGATTGCTAAAGGAGTGATGCCCCTGCCCTGTGCCATGCTGAAACAGTGCTGTACAAGCTGTTGAGTGCACTGTGACTTCTTTTTGTCCTGGAATGCTTGATTGGCACGGGGGGAGAGATGAAAGGGAGGGAGACAAGGTGAGGTGATTCCTCTTTAATAAGCTTAGTCCCCAAACACGCGGCGTGGGAGCTCGTACGTGCGGTCCTTGGGCTGGCGTGCCTCAGAAATCACTTGAGCTGCCACACTAGGCATGGCATTGCTGGCTTCTGGAAATCACTGTGGGAGAGAAGGGAGTGCTGCAGCACCTTCAGCAGTGCAGATGATGTATGGTGGCTTTTAGATTTGTTTTATCTGAACCTGCTGCTAGTTTAGCTAAGGAGAAGAGCCGGGGTTCACACACAGAAACGTTTGCCCAAAGAAGGAAGAAGTTGTCCTGGGAGCCTGTGTGCAGTTGTGGGGAGTGCAGGGTTCAAGCTGCCACTCAGCCTCAACCTGGACTTGTAGGGGAATTTGTGGCACTGCAAAAAACCTGGAATTTCTGTGGGTCAGACTGAGTTCACGGGGCTTGTGCTGCGAGTTGTGCCACGGTTGGAGGAGCAGGGCAGGGATGTTCCAAGTGCCACCAGGGATGGCAGGTTTTTAGTGCTGAGATGGGTGTTCTGAATGATTAGGTGTGATGATTTTATCCATTGCTCTGCAATACCATTGGTCTTGGCAGCCTCCAAATTCTGGGAGAGGCTGATGCCCAAAGTCTGTCTGTGGGAAAACTGAAATAGGACAGAGGGGGGCAAAAAGCTCTTGAAGCTGACTAAAAACACTGCTGGGGATAAACATAATTCTTCTCCAAGCAGTTATTTCTGTCAGTGCCTCAGCTTGAAGGTGACTAGAGGCTTCATCCCACCAGGACACAGGAAGGGAGAATTGTCAGTGTGTCACCTCCAAGACCACTTGGAAAACAAGAGGAAAACCTTCCCAAATTGCCAGGTACTGGGAGATGCTGGGTTAAGTTCCCCCGAGGTGACACTGCAACGCCAGATTGATTTCATGGGCTGATCTCGTTGGTTTTAAACAGGCTTATTCAAAAAATTGTTAAAACCCCAGTTAAAAACTGGAAAAATATTGGACTGTCAGGCACTCTGGAAATGGGGAATCTGCATAAAAGCTGGTTCACTTGCTCCAGAGATGGAGCCTTCTCAGAGCCACGTTTCTCCAGCTGTTCTGGGGAAGCCTGTGCCAGCACATGCCCAGCTCTCCAGGAACACAAGGTATGTCTGGCTCCAGTCTCTGCATTTGCCAAGTGGAGAAAGGGATCTTTCACACCAGCTTGCAGAAAACTGACCCCTGCCCTAGAGGTTTGATAAAAGGGGGGCTAAAAGTGATTTATTTCTACAAGCCCAGTGACTTTTTGTGCCAGTGTTTCTAAGATCCGTGGCAGCAGCTGACAGCTGGGTCACGGCTTTGTAAGTTGCACCATTCAAGCTTTCAGCCTTAGAACTATCTCCTATTTCTCCTGAGAGAGCCTGAAGCTTATTTTATATCTTTATTTGCTGCTAATCTGTAAAGAGACTCAAAACAGAAGTGTTGCTTTTGTGTTAAGTAGGATGTGAGGGACCAAACTTCACCAAACTTTGAATTTCTGAAAATCTGAAGTCTTTGGCACCCAGTGCAAATCTTGAGAAATGCTGGAAATGAGGGAAACGCTCTCCCTTCACTCTGTGGAATGGGAAAATCTGCAAAATTATCTAAGGTCTTGAGTTCTTCTGACTTTTAAGAGTGTCTTTGGAGCAGTGCTCTCAGGACAGCAGGAAGGAAGGTAGCAGAAACAGGGAGGATGAAGAGGCTGTAGCTGGACTGGGGAAACAAGTTGTACAAGCCTAAAGAACAGCAGCAGGAAGATGAACAACGCAAATGATTAAAAGATGTAATATGTTATTTGTATGAAGTTACTGAACCCTCTGTGTGCTTGGTTTTGATTGTTTCCACCTGTTCTTTCTTGCTGGTGCTTCTCTGAATTTGGTCAACCTGAGGAGTTAGGAGGGAACTGGGACTCATGTATTTCTTCCTTTGTCGTTTCTGCTGTGTTTGGAAGAAACATGAAATATTTCTTTGCTCAGTGATGGTGTGTGCAGAGGTAGTTGTTGTGTCTCCGTGCTCCTCTTTTTATAAAAAGCTTTATAAATTTTTAGGTTTTTTTATAATAAGTTTTCATAAAAACCCTCTGCTAATGGTTGATGAGTAATAACTGGGTAGAGCAGAGAGAAACTCATCATGCCAATCACTGTTTGGATCTCAGAGCGCTGTACATTTCTCTTCTCCCGTTCCTTGTGGGAATTCCAGCACGGTGACTGAAGGCATACAGTCCTGGGGAGGAGAAAAAAAAAAATAAAAATGCAGAAATCTGACCTCCAGCTCGGAGTTCAAGATGGTAGTGTTCATTAGGAAGTGAATCAGAACTGAACAGATGGAATTACCACGGGGAATTATTATCAAATTGAGCTGCCATCGTTGCATTTAATCAGGCAAGCAGGAGATGAAGGCAGCAGCAGCCCAGCCCTGTGCAAACCGACTGCTATGTGGGAGCTGGGATACTGCTATGAAGCAGGAAGGCTGAAATTAGCAGGGGAAAAAACCATTTCATTCATAGACTAGTAAAAATAAGCTCGCTTTCTGAGTTAATTTTAATTTGAGGCTTTGGCTCGTAGCAGTTTAATGGCTGTAACTTCGAACTTGGGGCTGTTTTTCTTTGTCCTGTGACTTGAAGGAGCCAAATTGGATTTGGAAATGTTGGGGATCTGTTGAGTGTGCAGTGCTGGAGAGCGGTGACATGGGAAGCTTTGTTTCAGTGGACCAGAACTGTGTGTGTGGAGGTGCTTAAAGTAAGAGAACACTGTAAGGGCAAGAGTTTAACTTGAGTTTTGGGGGGATTTGTTGGTTGGGTTTTTTTTAGTTTGAGTGGTTAACTCTTAGTTGGATTTGCTCTAGAAAGGAAGAGCAAAGCAGCAGGCATGGCAAGAAGAAACGGACGTGGGAACAGACCGGGCTTTGATACTTCTCCTTATAATCCTACAACCCAATCTAGCACCCAAAGCACCCCAAGTGAGAGGCTTCCAGCCCCGGCGGGAGAGAGGGTGACCTCTCCCTTCCAGCCGCCGGGCTATGGATCAGCTCAGTGAGGTCAGATCCAACACAAACACGTTGGTTTTGCCTAATCCCGGCACTGCCGCGCCTGGGACGGGCTGCGGGATTCCCGGCGGCTGCTCCATCCCCAGGTGGCCGGCGGGGGAGGAGGAGAAGCCAGGCTCCCCTGGCCCCGCAGCCAAGGTGCCGGGGAGGAGGAGGAGGAGGAGGAGGAGGAGGCGAGGCTCCGGTGCCGGGAGGAAGGAGGGAAGGAGGGCTCAGCGCTGCCCGGGGCGGGGCG